AGACTTGCAAATGTACTTTTCTGCAGAGGACAAACAGATTGTGCCACCCTCCAGTTTTCTCAGCTCCTGGGCTCCAACATGGGGCAGATAAATCCTAGGAGTGAGCAAGAATATCCACTTGGTGTGGGAAGGAATCAGCAGATTTTTCACTTATATTTATTTTATAGCAAAACCAAATGAACAAACAAAAATCCCAACAACAAAACCAGTTCAGAAATAAATTATGTTTACAAACATTTTACATGCAAATCGACACTCACCTCATGTATCAGAGCATCCCAGGCCGCACACAGTGCCAAAGTCTCCTAAGTGAAGAAGGTATTGACAGCACAGAGAGCTTCAAACAGTGCTCTCCCTCATCCGCTCACTTTCAGTGTATTGCCACATAGTGCAGCTCATATGGACCCACTCAAGTGCATTTATAGCATCTGTGCTTGACTCTGAAGTGAACTACCCTTCCAAAATGGACACAGAGCTCACAGAGCTTCCTGCAAAGAAACTGCAGGTGGAAGATAATCCTGATACTCCAAGAAAGCAAGAACATGGCAAAACTGACAGGTTTTCCATTCATTGTAGCAGAAGCTTTTTGGACTACACAAAATTGATGCTTAACAGGGTGGCAGAATTAACAGGTATGGACATTCTCTGTAGTGGTCATTGATACAAAGGACTTATTTCACCTGCAACATGAAAGAGACTGTTCAAATTAAGCTTTACCTCAGTGAATTTAGATTGTTAAATCCAGCTGTGATTTTAGTCCATACAGTGAGGTTTATCAATCAAATTGGAGTAATTTATGTATACTTATTACCTACCTAATTCTTGGGAACTCTACAGAACTTTGTCTTCAATCCCTCTTGTCCATGGAAAGAGGGCATTAATATGGAAAACAAACTTCTAGCAGGGATCCTCAGGACGACTGTTTATCTATGGCTCTTCATGTCCAAGCAATGGCCAGTCAATGCTTTTCATGCATTTGAAATACAGTATAACAGTACTTTATTCCTAGCATTAATATAGAATTCTGTTGAAAAAGCCTTTTAGGATCACCGAGCCCAATCCCTATCAGCACTGCCAAGCCCACCACTAAACCAGGTACCAAAGCACCACATCTACATGTTTTAAATACCTCCAGGGATGGTGACTCCATTTCCCTGGGCAGCCTCTTCCAACATTTAAGAACACCTTTGAAGATGACATCTATCCCTAATATCCAAACTAAACCTCTCCTGGTGCCATATCATGCCCTTTCCTCTTGTTCTGTCACTTATTTCTTTGGAGAAGACATTGAACTCCACCTGGTTACACTCCCAAAGATCCTCCTGAGCCTTTTTTTCCAGGCTAAACACCCCCAGCTCCCTCAGCCAGTCCATACATGACTTGTGCTCCAGACCCTTCCCCAGCTCTATTGCCCTTCTCTGGACTGGTTCCAGCAGTAGAGTGTCTTTCCTGAACTGAGGCCCAGAAATGACACAGGACTTGAGGTGTGGCCGCACCAATGCCCTGTATAGGGTGACTGTCCTGCTGGGACTATCCCTGCTCCTGCTAGTCACACCATTTTTGGTAGAGGCCAGGATGCCTTCTTCTGGGCACAGCTATCTTGCGTTCAGCTGCTGTCAACCAGCACCCTCAGGTCCTTTACTGCTGAGCACCTTTCCAGCCACTCCTTCCCCAGCACATAGCTCTGCCCAGCATTATTGTAAAGGCAGGACTCAGCACTCAGCCTTAAGGTTTTCATTCAATTAATCTCAGTCCACTGATCCAGCCTGTCTAGGTCTCTGCAGGCTCCTCCAGCAGATCGACATTCCTGCCCAATGTAGTGTTGTCTGTAAACTTACTGAGGCTACACTCAATGCCCTAGTCCAGGTCACACGTAACACCAGCTGCCAGCTGGATGTAACTCCACTCACCTCGACTCTCTAGGCCCAACCTCACAGCCAGTTATTTACTCAGTGTGGAGTACACCAACGCAAGCATGAGCAGCCAGTTTCTCCAGCAGAACGCCAGAGGAAATGGTGTCAAAGGCTTCATTAATGCCCAGGCACAAAACATCCAGTCTTTCCTTCATCCAGTAAGAAGGTCACCTTGTCAAAAAAGGAGATCATGCGAGCTTAGCAGGACATGCCTTTTGTAAACCTGTGTTTGCTGGGCCGAATCCCCTGCTTATCCTATATGTGATTACCATGTGATGGCAATCAAAATTATTTGCTTCACGACCTTCCCCAACACTGAGGTCACGCTGACAGGCCTGTTGGTTCCCTGGATCCTCCTTGCAGCCTTCTTGCAGATGAATGCAAGTTTACTTGTATTGGGTCTGGCTGGGATGGCTTATTTTCCCCACAGCAGCCCCCACCTTGCTGTGCTGTGTGTCAGTGACTGGTGAGGTCCTGGCAACAGAGTGGTGCTTTGGCTACCTCTGAGCAGCCCTGGCCCAGCATCAGCACTGTCTCCCCAAGATTCTGCACCCCCACGAACAACAGACTGGGGCTGGGCAAACCTGGAGAGGGGACATAACAGGACAACTGACCTGAACTGATCAAAGGAATGTTCCATATTATACAATTCTGTTTTGATATAAAGCTGAAAGGCCACAGTCTGTCCACCAGAGTCCAAGGCAGCAGCTCTGCTGACCCACCTCCTCACTTCTCTGAGAAGCAAAAGCTCTATCATTTTGTGATCTCTGTGCCCAAGACCGCCTCCAACCACATCACTCAGCAGCTTTTCCTTGTACACAAGTCCACTGGGGTGCCTGGACCCAAACACCCTTGAAAGCCAAAAGCCTGCTTTTCTGTAATCCTGGTAGTATCTCTAAAGACATTTTCTTTCATAGGGCCAACTATCTTAAACTTAACATCTTCATTATCAACTGTGACCAAGACACCACCAATCTTCACTTCACCCATCAGACTATCTTTAGCTGCAAACAACAGACTAGGAATGGACCTTTATCAAAAGCTACCTTTTATGTACTTCATGAGCTTGACAAGCTTTTGGAGTGCACCCATGCAAACCTTCTGAGTGACAGCAAGGGCAAGTTCAAAATCCTGCACTTGGCCCAGGGCAACCCTCAGTCTAAGTAGAGACTGGATGAAGGGTTTGAGACCAGAGAAGGATTTGAACATGACACCACAAAGTGCACTCAGCCCAGAAAGCAAACCATGGCCTGGGCTGCATCCAAAGCAGCATGGGCAGGGGAGGCAGGGGATTCTGCCCCTCTGCACTGTCCTGGTGAGAACCTACGGCAGTGCACTTGCAACCTGTTAAAGAAGGTCCAGGAAAGGTAAAAAAATCATGAGAGAATGACAACACCCCTTCTAAGAGGAAAGGCTGAGTATTGGGCTTTTTCAGCCTGGAGAAAAGGTAATTCTGGCAATACCTTATTACAGGCTTTCAGTATTTGCAGTGTAAAACATGGAGACTTTTTACCAAGGCCTGTGACAGAACAAGAAATTACAGATTAAACTGAAAGAGTGTAGATTTAGACTGGATGTAAGGAAAATCTTTTTTCCATTAGGGTAGTGAGACAAGCAACAGAAGCAAGTTGCCTGAAGAAGTTGTGGATACCCCATCCTTGGAAACACTCAAATGCTGGATGGGGCTTTGAGCACCCTGATCCAGTGAAACATTTCCACACTCACATTGGGAGGAGGTAGAGGTGTTTTGTGTTTGGACTAGATGTTAAGTGACTCTTCTAACCAAAACATGTTCTTTTCACACATTTCAAGATCTCTTCAGGTCTTTTTTCAGGTGGTACAGACAGCATAAACCTTAATCCATGACTAGATTTCAAATGTGTGCATTGAGGTCTCCTCACTCCATTGCTGTTATTAGTACAGCACATAACAGTAACATCTGTTAAGTAAGCAAACACAACTCTAAGTCAAGATAGCATTATGAGAATCATGCTCTCAAATTCCTTGCCATCCAAAGAGATTAAATTTGTTCAGCATACCTTAAAACATTATTTCATCTAAGACTGTAGGAAAGGGGAAAAAAGACAAATTTTAAAAAACTATCTTTATTTTTTTTCTTACATTTAAACAGGGATGTGTTTCAGTTTTAGACATCCAGCCATTGTTTACTTCATTACTGTAGACAGAAAGAAAAAGTATATAAATGCAAATCATATTGGCATATCTACATTAGTGCCAACTGCTTTACTAGAAGAAAACCTTCTGCATTAAAATCAAGCACTTAAAAAATCACTGAAAGCAAGTGCCTTGCTAGTAATTTCAGTAAATAAACAGCTTTTATATAGTCAACCATTGTAAGTCCATAATATTCATACTGTCTTGCTATGGAGTTCAGATTATACAAACATGGTAGAGATTAAAAACCTCCAATAAAACTCATCAGGTGTATGAGAAATACACATACCACATGTACAAGCAACAGATTTGGTCAAGTACTACAAAGAAGGATGTGTTTTCACAAGAGAATGGTCAAGTGACCTATTTCTCAGCTGAAACAAAAACAAAGAAGTAACTTCATGAATCTGAAATAATCAGTAACACACTCTGGTGGAGTGGAAACTTATGACCTGTTACACAGTTGTGTTTTTGTAGGCCAAGTTCAGGTTTTCTAAAACAAAAACTTAAGAGCGTGAACAGTAATAATGACAACAATCAAAGTATACATATGAGCACAAAATCCAAACAATAAAATACACTTTTGGCTCTTAATGAAAAATAAATTACAAAATAAAATTAAAACCCTTGTAAATGCAATGATTAGTTCAAAGGTGTACCTTTGCTTTTATATACATTTTAAATGCTACCACAAAACAGACTAAAAATAAATACATATGCCAAAAGACATTTGTGGAAAGAAAAAAAAATGTTACTTAGCTCTAGAACAATTCTAAAGAAACAGAGATAACCTGTGTTTTGGTCAATAAATCTGTCTAGTCACTTCCATCTTCCACAGCCCTTCTTCAATAACTGGCATTAAACATGACAAAACCACAACTCCGTCATTATGGCTTTAAAATAAACATATTCTCTGAAGAAGAAAATATAAAATGAGCTGCCTTGCCTACAGAACTATTGGTTTGTTCATATTGCAAGCACTTAATCAGACTGTAAAGAAGCATCTGATATATCCTTGCCATCCTATGATACTAGGGAACTTACACTGCAAGACAAGAAAACTCCAGGGGAAAAAAAGGCAGGAAATTTGGGATGCTCTGAGCTAGTATGCAGTGAAGGCAGAAGTCTAATTCACTTCCATTGCGTTTCTTTTCTAAATTAAAGAGCAAAATAATACACCTCTAACTTTACATGGCACGTCCATATTTTCAAGCTAAAGATACTGTCAATCATCAACTACCCTAGTGAACATACAGGCTTTAATGTTTATTCCACTTTAGCCAGATTCAATACCAGATGTGCTCTGTAGAACTCTTTTGAAGGTAATTCAGTCTTGTTAAAATTACCAGAGGTACAACTTATATTATACAAACATTTGTATTCTTTGCACACTCTTAAATTTCTACTGTATTGCAATTTTCATTGTCAGCAAAATAAAAGCAGGTTTTCAAACTGAGAGGATACTAGAAATCCCTTCTGTTAATAGCACCAGCATTTTGACAACTGTCAACAGCTAAACCAGCATCCCCAATATCTCCAGACAGTGACAATTTGACTAGGCTAACAACTTGACTAACTAGTAATACTGAGGGCAAAAGAAGAAAGACAATGCAAGTGTCATAAAATAAATCTTAAGATTTTATTATTTCACAATATGTTTGTGTACCTGTATTTTTCTTCTTCATTTTTGAAGAAAATTGCTTTAGATACACTGCTACAAACTCAAATAACTGATTTATGACATCCGTCTTCATCTAAGACATTGCTACTACTTCCTACAAAAGAAGAAATACTTCTTAAGTTGAGTTTTACTCAAGATACTGCTCATTTCCTATAATTTCATTGGTCCATATGCTGATGGTCAAAGAAGCACTCCTATTTGACAATATCTTAAAGCTTTCAGAACAGATGAATTAAAGAAACAGAAAATGGATGCAGAAGAACCAAATCAAAGCACAGAGGCATGATATTGTTTCTCAGGGAGTCCTCGGAAAATGAGTTTATTATGGAGGTTTTTGTTTTGGGTTTTGTTGTTGGGGTTTTTTTAAGATCACAAGACAACAGTTGAACAAATAAGCATTTTCCCATGTTCTGTTTGGTTCTAGTCATTTGTTGCGCTGGATGGTTTTCCTTTTCCTCCGCTTGAATAAGCAGCAGCACCTGCAAGTGTGACATGAATTACATATGATATAAAAAGAAACCAGAAAACTAAACTAATTACTGTATGTCTCATTTGAAGTACATAGCTCAGGTATAGCCAGCACCACAAAGAACACATTAAGCTTTATTGCAGGCCATTGATTTATTAGAGAAAGAAACTGAAGTAGAGATATTTTTGACACATTTCACCTTTTTTTTGGGAAAAAAAGTATCAAACTAAAAAAGCTATAATGAAAGTTGCTATTCAGTTTGGAGTATTGATGAGAGCATCAAAACCACAAGTATTATAGGCTGATTTAAAAATGCATTTGTAAGAATAAAAAACATTACCTGAGTACTCTTTCACAAAAAACTGGTAATATGCCAAATAGAAGCTTGTGCTTATGACTGTGTCACCTAAACTATGCACTTAAGACATTGTTGCTAAAACAAGAAAACAATTCGAGTTTCCTTTGCCAACCAGAACTTGGAAAAACTTTCTCCAAGGCTATTCCACAAGACATTTTAGAAGAAAATGTTAATGAGCAGTATAATTAATGTTCTGATCCAGTGCTGTGATAATACTACTACAGGGAAAAATCACAGCTTAAAGAACACTGATATTCTCTCTTCGGCTTTATTGCATACTACATGAATGAAACAAAAGTGACAAACATTGTGAATTTTACTTGCAGATAGAGACAATCTGAAAGTACCTGAAAGAACACTACAGAATGAAAGCGCTGGAGGGAGTTAGATATAGATAATATACAGACGGACTGCAGAAGTCCAGAAAGTACTTTTGAAAATAAACTGAAGAGGCAACAAACAACACACACACACAAAAAAATTCATTTTAAGTGTACTGTTAGGCTTATTTTAAGCAAATTCCAGGTCCCGAATAACACCTTTAAAAATAAAGCTTCAAACTAAAGTGTTTGCAATGTGTGTGATCAAAACTGAACATGCAAGCTGTCTACTCTAATAGCTTGCCTCATATGGAGGGGCTTGGTTATTGAATTCTCACTTGCCATGCTATATACTGAAGAGTCTTAAGCTATGAAGCAATAGTAAAAATATAAATGTACTGCATCAATACCCTTGATCAGTACATCCTTAAGTTCACCAAGCATTTTATATCACTAAAATTCAAAAAGAATTCAGATAATTTAGTTTGGAATATGGGAAATGGGGAAAGCATTTAAAAATTAGGGAGAACAAGGGTCTAAAAATGAGGTTCTACAGAGGGTGAGAACAACATCCAAAGTAAGGGGAGACAGAAGTTACCTTCTCAAAATATCCAAGGCACCCTGTTGCTCAGTCACTGAAAAAGTAGCAGTGGGCAGAGGCAGACCAGAACTGCTCTGAGAGTTACATAACTTTCAGCAGAAAAAAACATTGGTTATTGATGAAGAGGAAGCCCAAGATTTAAATTCCATAGGGGAAACTACATAAGTAAGTATTTTTACAGCTAGCAGAAGTATCATACCGTATTTACTAAATTTAAAGTACTTCTTAAAGAAGAATTATAATTGGTTTTGAAGGGTAGTAGCCACTGACTGTAACTAGAATTCCTCCATAACTACTAACTCTTTTTTAGCATCTGCCTATAACCACTAACATTCATTATCGCTTAAGCTTTGAATTTACTTGTAGATGTACGAACTCCAATTTAGTTTAATTCTTTTTTCACCCCAAGTATTTTATATACGTCTTGTATCAAAGCAAAACAATGTTCCTCCCTTTCCACATTAATTATCCTATGATCCTGTAGATGACAAAATCCTACCCTCAACTGTGATGGTTCATCACTTTTATACTTGTTCGAGATTAGCATGCCTTAGGGAAAGCCCACAGAAAAATTCTGTCTTGATTTATAACATTAGCATGTATAGAACCCAGGTTACATAAGTAACAGTAGGAAGATGGAGGTACAGCAGACAGTTAATTTATATTCTAGAACAGCTATCTAGAATTTTAACTCTTCACTCCTTAAATAAATTGTGCTTATATAGACCACAACTCAAGTGGATCAGAGTTTTTAAATGTTTAGGACTACTTAAAAGCTCTTTGCAATTCAAGGACACATTAGGTTTTCTTGCTTTCCTTATCAGAAAATTTTAACTCATCCTTGCTGTAAATCTGACACTTTTATTCTTTCTGCATAGCCTATTTAGTTTGCTACTTTCTCTAGTCAACCAGAGAAAAAGGGCACCATGCGATGGTGAATTCAAGAGTTCTATTTTTAACCAACATAAAGCACTGCTTTTTTAATCCTCTGATCATCTGGAGTTTGCATAATACTAGTATAGTGAGTATAATTTCTATTAACATTTCTTTTTTTGGGTTTTTTAAATTATAAAAACTATTCAACTGTATTTCAATTAAAGGAGAAGTCACTAAATACTGAAAACTTCTAATTGATGGGGAAAAATAAGTATCTTATTAATATATAACATATCCAAAATTTTTAACATCCAATTTTATGAATTGTAAACCATAGAACTGTTTTGGAAATCTGAGCTGAACTACACTGAAACACTGTGTCTTTTTTAATCTAGAAGTGCTAGACTTCAAATTGGCTTCCAAGGCCAAATAAATGTAATTTTAAAATACATCTTTACATGGGATTATGAAAGAAACATAACCCTTTGTTAGAGATTCATAGTGCATGATTTCTCAATGAGTATAACTCATAGCAGAAATGCAGACTTGTACTTAAGCATACTGTCGCTAGAGGGTGTTATTGTCACTTGTACATAATACAGATATTACATTACTTAGAGATGTATTTAAAGCTATAGATAGGTGCCTTATTAAGGACTATTAAACCACAAATGTATTATCCAATTCAATATGCATGCAAAATACAGAAGAGGTAAGTTTTTTAAATTTCTACTTCTAGGATTTTTTTTAAATAAAGCATTTAATGACTGCTCACCTTTATTTGTTTACTATTTCTAGAGTAGGCAGTGCAATGGCAATCTATCAAATGCAAGAAACACTGCACTTTTCCTGTACAATCTAAAGTGACCTTTGAGGTATTATCTGAGGTAGCAATCCCAGTATTATGGTTTTGAACACGTCTTGTCCTTCTTAAGACATCATCATATATTTTTTCCTATTAAATACCTTTCCTTCCATTTGAACAATGCCTTGGGCCAAAATTCTAAAGCAACTTGATTTGTCATTTGTGTTTAGATAGCTGTGTTTTTACATTTGCCATCAGCACGTGACTTTACTACAGCATTAGTAACAAGTGTTTCAAGTGGCAAAAGAGATGCAAGATGCAAAAAGAACAGATCATATAATCAGTTCTTGTTTGCCCTTCTCTGCCTTCCCACAGAACAGCCTTTTGGTTATCCAAATCACACATGCTTCATAGAAGCAACTGTTCTGATGGCTGGCAAACAGTAAAGAGAGGTTAATTGCTCAGTGACAAATGAAAGAGCATCTGTAGAAGATTACAGATAGGTCTGTAGATCCCCAAGTGTCAGGGCAGCACAGCGATCAGGTTTGTTTTTTCCTTGCTTTACAACTTCAGTAAGTAACAACTGAAATAGGGCAGGAAAGCAACTTTTCTAAAAAGCCAAACCAACAAAAATAACCGAACTAACAACTCCTCTATCCCCGACATTCACAAACAAAAAGCCAAACACACCTAAATTGCCAAAACACAACATGCACTGCTAAGTCATACTAGCTGCACAACCACCATGGAAAATGACACAGCACAAGATTTAGAATATATGCTGCATGTCAGTATATAAATATTTATCAAACAATGAAATATTTTATTAAATGTTGGTTAAATGTCCCAAAACACTAAAACCCTTACTGAAGAAAAAAACTCCAAACTTATCCCTTCTGATTTACAGGATTTCACTGAAATGGTGGCAGAAGCTCTAATATTCAGCCAAATTACATTTGTGTTTATAGTTAAAATCATACATAATGGGGGCAATCCCACATGACAGGCACCCTTTTAAAATCTTTTAAATGAAGATATAGTCATGCTAAGTTTCTAAAACTAAGAAAACATCTACAACAAAGAGTGACGCATTCCTAAATAAGATTCAAGTATCCTTTCTTGGAGTATGAGGAAATGTTACAAACAGAAGATACGAGCAAGACAGGTTAGTTTTGTTCATACTTTCAGGTGGAGAAAAGATTATGAAAGAGGCACAAAAAGATTATGAAAGAGGCACAAAGAGTCTTTTTGAGAGAACAATGTCTCCTTAAAACTGAAAATATCCATGTCACAGACATGAAGGATACAAGTAATCCCAATCCCTTAACCTATTCCACAGTGTAAAATTTATAAACAAATGTTTAAATCCCTCTTGATATTAGGCTTGTAATTACCATGCTAAAATGTAAAATAATCTAAATCTTCTAAAGTGCTCTTTCTGAAAAAATATGTGTACCTATGCATTGATGTTTGATAGCAAAGCTGTAGAGGAAGTGAGAGTAGTGGGAGTGTATGCATGTTAGTTACTGCCAAAATATAAAACAACTTCAAAATATAAAAAACTACAAAAAAACTTCTAGTCACTGAGGAAACTTCAGCTTAAACAGACCGTGCTTAAACACTAATTTGAGTGTTACATACTCTAAATCCAGAAAATCAATCTAAAGAGTAGGACACTGAGACTAGTTATTTTGTCTGTAACAAAACCAGTTAAGAGTAAGCCAAAAAGGTCAAGGATAGCATATAACAATAGAATATTTGTCCATTATGAATTCAAATCAGAAGAAGTAAACTTTCACACTTAAGCAGCTGAGCATCTTGGCTCCTGAGAATTCTCTTAACATTCTGCAGATAAGTAAAGTAGGGATACTAAAAATGGGTTTAATTGTGCTAAGCACTACTCCAAGTGCAAGAAATTTAATCTTTTTCTGCGTGTATGTGAGCTAAGCATAAGGAAGATTATCACTGTGCTTATTTGAAGAGTGGGGACAGGGAATTTATCTATGGACAATCTATGAATATCTCTGCCCTTTTGGATTTTTTTTTGTTTATATATAAACAGAACTGTATTCTTGGCAGTAAAAGAATACTATACTCCACAAAGATGGTAGCAAAGAATTTAGTTTTTCTCAGTGCTCAGAGAAAACCATTGCAAAAATGTAGCCCTACAGAACATCTCTACTCAAAAATTTTAATTACACAGGAAAAAAGGCTTACGTATGGAAAGCAGAACCTGCAGAACAATTGCTTCAAAAAAAATTGCACTTTGAGAAATTTCCCTTTTCCCCAAAGTTAGGAGAATGGGTTCTAGAAAAATGGCTGCTACTAAATTGCTCTGCTACTACTAATGTATCCTTCAGACCTGTGTGCCTGTATTTTACAGTAAACTAGATCCATACTCTTGTAAAATCCTATTTCAAGCACAATTATAAAACAAAACATGTTGGAATTCATACTACCTTTAGCTGTCAAGAATATTTTTCTGTACTATTTTGCAAGTCTAAGTTTACTACTGAAATATATAAACATCAGTTGTCTTTCTCATGGTAACAGATCTTAATATTTTTCTTTTTCATACACTGTAATGTTAAGGAACCCTGAAGTTATGTTTTAGTGATTAGATAGAAAGTTGTCATAGACTAATACTCTGGTAAATACTTTGTTAATAGAGACAACTGGAAAAGTTCAAACATTATTTTATACATGTATATATAAAAATATATACATATATATATTTATAAAATATTACATATCATATATTATTTATATTATATTATATAAATATTTATAAATATATATACATATTTATATGCGAGTTATTTTCTAGATGTTAATACACTAGCTGAATGCTACAATATTTGAAAAGAACGCCTTCCCTTTCAAACAGAATATAAAGTAAGAAAAAATATTCTAGTACCCATTAAAAAGGTTGACATAAAGTATATCAAAAACTACACAACTAAAAGCAAGCAGAATTTGAAGCAGGCAGAACAGCTCCTGAAGGGGGCGTTTTGTAAAAACAGTTAATTGTTTCACAGAATTAAAATGTATTTTGTCATTTCTAAGTAGACATTTTATTTTTAAGTTTTCTGAAATTAGTTTTAAACCCAATAACAAGAACAAAGCTCCTGGGGCTATTTCTGCCTGCCTGTGCTGTATAACTCACCACATGTTCAACACTTTCTGGCAGCTATACAGAAAGGAAGTAAGAAAAGAAAGAGAATCAGAATACAATACAGAGGAAGAATTTCACATCTTCCATACATGGCTTTTGGTAGTCAGAACACTATCTTAAAATAAATATTTCAAAGTGAGTTGAAATATCAAAAATGCATGCGCTTCTCTAGCCAGCATTGCAAGACATGTCATTAAAGGCTTATAGGAACTCTACTATTTAAAAGCTTAAAGACAAAATTAAGTATAGCATTGTAGTTTTGTTCCTCACCAACAGCTATTTAGTTCAGACAATATTTTCTGAAAAATTATATGAGAAAAATATTGAAGCAGCTGAGCACAAAAGATCGGAAGAATATGAAAAGGACATACTTCGTTTCATCCATTACTTCTACTTCTGCAGGAGCTGTAATGGGTGCATTTGAACGGCCTGCAGTTGGGTCATCCGTGTTCAGTTCTCCATTTGTTGAGCTTACTACCTGAAATAACAAGAAAGACCTGAAATTATACTAGTGCCAGACATATATTTGTTAATTCCTAAGGTAACAATATAGCTTAAAAAAACCAGTAATTTTTGTTATTTCCATAGTGATTTTTATTCCAGTTATCTTCTCCAAGTTTTATTCCAGCACCTCTGTGCTCTTGTAATTTTCCTTTCATATCTATTAGTGGAACTGACCTCTACATGATGGACTCAAATTGAGTGGATGAAACAAAGCAGCAACTCTGTGGATGCCGTTTGCTAATTTCCCCCACATCTCTTCAGAGCCTTAAGGAAAGGCACTAAGCATTCTTCCGATACCAATTCAGTCGGTCCAACCCTATCTCTGCCCCTTCAGTGTATTTATGCTTCTTAGTTTAGCTCTTTATATTCAGTCTGAATAGGAAGACCTGATTCAGTTGTATGTCCAAGAACTCTCATCAGAAAAGGGGAAAACTAAGGCTGTCTTCTAGACCTAAGTGTACAGATGGTGTCTGATATTTAGGACACAAAAACATCTACTGCCAAAAAAATTAATAAAAAATTAATCTTCATTCCTATTAGTTTACCACCAAATTTCTATGTGGAATGTTCAAATCACCGTAAAAGCTGTGGTTCTCTGGGAATATTTGTTTGGACTTTAAACCAAGTGGAACCCAATATTCTCTCTCTCAGCTCCTCAATCAGTCAATTTTCCTGCATGACAAATGGAGCCATTCCAGAGGCTTGTTATTCACCCCACAGAATACACAAAGGAAGATGGTTAACTGGCTGTAGACAAGCACCTACCTGATCAGAGCTACTGACAGTGCTAATTGACTCATTTAAGAGTTGACTGACATCATGGAGAGGTCTAGTAGCTATTAAGTAGCAGCAACTTCTTGGCAAGGCAGCAAGCATAAAACACTTAATTTTGGACAAATAATATAAAAGCTTCCAGAAAACACCTATAAGCAATCAGTTATAGAGACTAAGAGTAGTCCATAATTCAAGATTATTACCAGCTGTTACCTGATGGTCAGAGATTAAGGTAGATGAAAGGAAAGGGAAGGAAAATCACCACTATAATATTATTTCCTTCATTCTTCCAAGCTCTCCTCTTATTATAGCAGTTGTGTCTCATCTATTTAAAACCAGAGCTAAGAGCCTAGCCTATTGAGGGTTTTTTTGTGGTTCCTATTGTAATTAAGTACAGTGCTTCAGAAGTTCGCTGCACCAAGGCATTTTCCATGCCCTTTGCCGGCATGAGGCTGAGTATTCTCCTTTCTCAAATTTCACTACGGAAACAAGCCACTGCCAAAAATCTCACAGGCTTGTAATGAAATAAAAGATATGTGAGATTGTAGGAATCCAACTACTTAAATTTTAGTCAATATAATTGAAGGAATCATGGGACACTGGACTTCATCCCTGCAATGATAAGCAAATAAATGGAGTTTCAACTAGGTGTCTTAAGCTTAGTTTCATATCACTGGGCACGACAGAAGCACTTCACATTCAGTGACAGAAACAGGTAGGAATTGTACTTTAACAAACCTTAAAATGTTGGGGAGGGCATCAATCAAATCAAACATCCTGGTTTACTAGTTATTGGGTTTTACAGAGACAAACAATATTCAGAGTTGTCATCATTGTAAATATTTACTAACAGGGATATAGTATTATCCCAACCACCTCACCAGGTATCTTACTGTGAAGGTCATTTCACTGCTTTTTGTAAAATACCCAGAGTGGAAAAGTGCATCAGAAGTATATGCTAACTAAGACAGAAGCAGTCATAGTAATGTAAGGGTAAAAAAAATCCTTGCTCAGCAAATTAAATTAGTTTGATTCCAAAGGAAGCACAGAAGTACAGAATGGTTACATTTGGGAGGGAACACTGGTGGGGTCATGCTCACTTGACGCTCCCTGTGCCAAACTATAAAACTAACCACAGCTACAGCCTGCACTAATCCATGTACAGCAATGCCACCCAACTGATACTGTAGTCAACTTTGCATGCAGCCCTAATGCTGCAGGATTTCTGCTCCATAATTTAGGCTTAAAAATAACTTTTCTAAAAAGAATGTCAGATCCATGCTCAAGATTGTGTTAAGAGTGGTTGATGAGAAATAAAAGCCTTTGTCTTCAGTTTACTCAAACAGAAGTAGGGTACACCAAGAAATACCAAGACAAGTATATGCCCCTTTCTGGATGGGAAGCAAACACAGTACAATTTAGCTGTAAAAAACAGGTGACAGTTTGCAGGAGCATCTGCAAGAACTCCTGTTTTCTTCACTTTTCCTTAAAAAAGGAAATGAAAAAATGTATGACTTATACACAGACATCAAAACATACTGCCCAATTGTAGCACCTCTGGGGCTTTTATATGACACTCTCTTTCACACTTATTTCCCAGGAGCACCTGTTCAATGATTCACATGTATCTTCTTGGACAGCATATTCAAAAAAAGAGATCAAACTTAACTATGTACACATCTTCATTTGAATTGGAAAACAGGGAAGTAGGTATCTAAAAGTCCTTCCTATATTAGTAATATTTTAAGTATTATGAATGTGCTGCACTAATCTAAGCTGACTTCATCTTTAAAGGAGCCAAAATCACCCTCCGCTAGGGTCAATCTGGTAATAAAGAACAAAGCTTATTGCAGCTTATTCTTCAAACTGACTTCAAACTCAGTTTTTCTTGACAATGGTTTCCATTAGCTGGATAAATCTCTTTTCAAAACAGCTTGTTTCCTAAGTTGATTTATTACTTTGACTTCAAGAGAATTTGAAGCACTTTGTTGAAAACTTCACACCACATAGCAAAAGACTGCCTTACCTTGCTCTGGTCAATAACATAATCTCTGCTTCTCTGACAGATACCAAGGGTATCAGATATCCTTCCCACACACATATACAGCCATACACATTCACCAAATATACAAACAAATACTGTGAAGTATAACTGTCTGTTGCATGACTAAGTTTAGATGGGAGGAACAAAGTTCTTCTTTCTGAAAAGTGTTACGACCACTGAAAGCATAAGTGAACCAAAGCCTATATAGTAGAAGTAGCTTAAATCCAAAAAACAGCATCAGTCGTGCTTCTCCAGGACCACAAATGTCCTGAGTTTCACTCAAATCTACGACTGCGAAAGCAGCTCTAGGAGCTCACGACTGATGAAGAAAATGAAAGAAATAAAGACTCATACAAAGGAGTACAAGAGATAGGAAGAAGGCTTCAATTCCACTGTCAGTAAGACTACAGCTGTATGAATTTAATTTCACGTTACATTAGTAAAGTACTTTGGAATCTGACCTAAAAGAGCGTTTAGTAAGGCAAATCATTACATTCTCCTCTCCAACTATACACCAATCAGCTCAAAAATCTGCAAAACACAGGCAGGAAGATACGGGAACATAATAGAATTGAGCAAGAAAACGTCACCCAGAGGACATGATATGCACCAAAGGAGTGTTACACCAAATTCTGTGTCCAGAATCTACCACAAGTAAGCCACAATGAAAATTCACCACAGTAGATCTACATAAAAAGCTAAAACTAGAGAAGAGAGAAGCTACATGGAACTAAGTTTGCTTTAAGAGAAACTTTTAATTTAATTTCTCTACTTGTGATGCAAGTTGGAATGGATTTCCCTTGATGAAATCAACAGCCTGATGAAAAAATGATGAAAACAATTAATCTCTTAGAAGATTTGAATACAACTATAGAGAAAAAAATTAGGATATCTATGGTTTTGCACCTAAAAATTCTGTTACAAAATGTAGATGAACATTCTTCTCTGAATAGTAACACAATTAGGTTTCAAAAACCAAATATTTTTAGAGTTTCAAATTGGAAGTATCGCAATATTGAAGATTAACTTAAGCTAATCACTTATTTTCAAGTGAGAGAATAACCACTAAACTGAAAACTTAAAACTCCTTCAAGCATTTTTATAACTTTATCCTGGTTTAAATTTAGTTTCTTCAAATTTAATCAGTTCTTTCAAAGTTTAATATGAAGAGCACCTATACAAAGAAGCACATATATCGCTGGTTATTTCTTGATACTTTCTATGCCATGAGGTAAAGAAACAAAAATTCCACCCACTAGCCATTAATGACACATTAATGGTGGAACAGAATGATTTCTTAGATACATGGCTCTCTGGAAGCTTGATAAAGGCCATTTCTAACAAGACACAGTTTAGCCCAAATACCAGTTCCCTAAATGGCAACAGTAAATCTTCAGCCTCTATACTTGGTTTTGGATTAGGAGGCAAACTGATCTTTTACTTGCTGTATTCAAAAATCAGTTAGAAAGTCTGACATGAAAAACAAATTTTGCTGACTTTCATTACTATGATCACAACAAGAAATTGCAAAAATTTGAAACAGACATAGAAAAAAAAACCTTCATTCCATTAAGAATCTCAGTAACTGAATTCTCCACTCAAAAAATAAAGGCAGTCTACATCTCTAAGTAATTCGTAAGTGATACTACATAATTCTTTATTTTACCTTCAAGAAGTTTTCAGTTAAGACAAAAGAATAAAAGTCATCACATCGCCTTTTTAGTTTACAAAATCTTAACAAAATTGATTTGTTTCATCTAACTTTACTATCTTGACTTCTTGAAGGAGAGGAATCTTGCAACTCAAAACAACTTATATCAAATATAAAAATCTTTCAAGCAGTTCCTAAGTACTTTACTGGGAACTCTTTAACCCAATCTTTCAATCTAATCTCCTTTTAAAGAATCCCCCAATGGGAAAACAGAAAGAGAAAAGAGGCAATGAAAAAAAGTAATGGAACAGATTAATATAGTCTTTATGAGTGCACAAGCAGACTGCAGCTCATACAGAGAAAGAAATAATTCAGTATTGTACAACTGACATTTTGAGAAGTGAGGCAAACTTACGAAAACAAAGGCACAAAAGTTGTTGAATGAATTGCTGGAAGGTATGAGTTGATCATTAATAAGTATGCATGAACTAGGAAAATGGACTGAAGTAAGTGGAAGAAGGGATGTCTTCCTTTTACAACTCAATTTCCTATTACTATTTGAAGTTTAACTGATTCTACAAAGTAAAATTAGACATGTCTAAGCACATTAGGATCTTTTGAACAGCAGCCTAGGGTCTGGGATAAATTAATACAAAAAAATAGAATAGTATCTGTTAATGAACAAACCAGTTCAAACCTCAATGGCTCACACTTGAACTTATCACTAAGAGCATACAAATATATGCTAACAAACACATACAACACCACCACTCAGTCTCCTTGATGTTAACAGGTCCCAGAAAAGAATCACTAGTACATTTTAACAACTGCCTAGAAAAAGAACCTCAGAGATGACATTAGCAGTAGTATTACAGATAACTAATAGCACTGACCTAAAAACATTTCACTATCATTTTAAAATAATCTGACACATTTTCATATCTTGCAGAAAGAATTGATAAAACTGATCTCAAAGACAAGCAATAGCTCACTAACATCACAGAAAAAAATACACTTTAATTTCACACCTTAGACTCAACTTTTCCTTTGAATAATTTTCTGTGGGACTTCTAGTATTCATCACCTTGAAAGCAATCAGGAAGCTAGTGAAGTAGCTAGCTAATGAACCCATTTAACAAACAGTATGATTCAGTTAATATCCCTGCAAAAAAGGGGAATTTGACAACAGCCAGGGGCTATGTCACAGCATAACTGGAGATACTATGTGATTTTGTAAGTGCCTTTAATAAGAAAGCATGACCACTCCACAACAAAAACCAGTCAACTACGAGAAAACCCTGCTGCCTAACACTCGATCTTCAAAGGCACAGACCATGGCTGCCGTTTTGCACAGTGCTTTTATTCACATGGCAATTGCTTAGCCTCAACTGATCTAAATGATCTGAACTCAGACAGACTGCCTGTATCCTGTGAGGAAAAAGGATAAAAACAACACTATATTAACAGTAAGGAATATTAGTGCTACTTGTGTTATTTCCTAGAAAATGTTCCCTGGAAACATTTTTTCTAGTCAATTACTGTTTGAATAAAGGAGTGAAATTAAAGCAAACATCACTAGATAGCATTTTAATTTGATGTTTACTTAAGGAATGAAAAACATGGCTTGCATAACACTGAGTTCAGTGGTTTTTAGTTGCTAATATAATTGACACACTGGAAGTCTAAGCTTCAGTTGCTTGCACTGAGGTAAGTATATATTCTGTAAAAAAGATAGTTCGACTGTTTTAAGACTTTTACTAAGAAACATGCAAGAAAAATTCCATCAACAAAAAGTTCCATAGTTTCAGCACCTGTTTTCAGTTTAACAACTGAACTGTGAAGTAATAAATAACAGCAGCATTCTGAACATTACTGATAATCAATCTTAACATGAAAACATGAATCACTAGATACATTACAGGAAAGTAGTATTATGTAATGCAAAACAACTGATTTAGGTCATGCAAAGAAGCAGAAAATACCTGTACAGAGCCACCATGTCTGTCAGATGCCAGGTGAGCCCTCAAATGATGTGGATTGGTTTGCTGTGAGTCCCAAGCTGCCCTATGGTCTATTGACTATAATTTTTGAATGTATTAGAATTTATGCAAAAGAAGAAAAAGAAATTAAAGATAAATAATTTGTGCATTAATTGTCACATATTATTTTTAAAAAGCACAGAAGGACTACACACTCAATCCCTATATAGACTGCACTTCCACATTATCAACATTCTTACACATGCCTTCATATAAATTCTTATACAGAGGTGAAGCAGCTAAACCTCCAAATTCTTAGTCAGAAAAAGCACACTAACACAACCCTCCAATTTTGCTTAGGTAAACTGACACAGCTCTGAATTCCTAACATTGTTACCACCCAAGTCATTAGGCTGGTTTAAAAAAAAAAGTGAAAATGTTATACATACATGTTAGAACTGACAGAGAGGATACAGTGTATGGAGGAGACATGGAAAATAAAGTGTGAGTAGGCGGAAAATTCACTACTGATTCACTGCACTGTATCATAGCTTCAAACAAACAAGATTTACAAGATATTTATGTATCTCTATATATGCAGAATTTAACAAAGATCTACTAAAAGTGAAAACAAAGAAAACCTACAGTCAACTTTATTTTCAAGTTTTAATAAAAACATAGCACAAATCATTAGACAAAAGACATAGTAATGCTGATAATCTTACATGAGCAGTTTACCTGATTTTTGGATTGCTGCATTCTGTCTCTGTGCTGATATGCTTCTCTGTTTGAAGACATTGCAGGGTCTGAATGTATTGAACCCACTGGAGTAGGCTACAAATATAAATAATATGTAGCAACTGGTAAAAAAATAAATTTCTAAGTCTCACCAAAAGTTTCTGGTTTGTAATAGAAAATAATCTTTAAATCTGACAGTTTCAAATAACACAAAATTATCAGATTAAAGCAGAAGCTTCACTAGATATTTACTAATGCTAACAACAAAAAAAGCAAACCATTACTTACAGAATATATTGAAGTAGCAATTCTAAGTATTATCATACAATAATTTTCTGAAAGACTTTAGGCTGATATTTTCTGCAATTAGGAGTTACAACATTCTGATGAAACCTGATGAAAGGCTTGAAGTAATTTTTAATGCTAAACACTGAAAAAAATATTTTGCAACAAAATAAATGCTACAATTCTTTAAGAATCACACAGAGAATTGCAGAGTGAAGGGCATAATCTGAAATTAGTCAAACATACGCATATTAGCCCTGCCTGCCCTACATAATAAAAAGAAGTGAAAAATTTGAGAAGCTGAAGAAAATCCCATCTTCTACCATTTCTTAAATTACATAAACAGTGTTTCCTGAACTGATAAATATCTTAAGTATACCTCATATGCAGAGAAGTTATAGCTCTACATTTTAAAACTACTGGGAGAAAAAACAAAATATATGCAGTTATGACAGTTACTTGCATAATTTTAAGTTCCTTCAACTCAAAAAACAATCTGAACTTCTACCACCTCATTTTGGAATCAGCAGAGATGTACTTTGATATTAAGAGCACATTTGGAAAGAGACTGAATATGAAGCACTCAAGCCAAAAAATAATGTTAGAATATGCATCTGCAGATGGGCTTGTAACAGCAGCTGTTCACAACTCTATTAGCAGCCTTGAGATGCACATACTTTATGAAACTCAGAACTGATCATAAAAAAGCCATTATATTACTAACAGCTGAACTGTACTCACCAACTGTTTGCCAATCCAGTCGTATTCATAATCAAACACATAGCCTTTCCGATCCAGTAAGTCTGTGAAGAGCTTTCTTAAGTAGTCGTAGTCTGGCTTTTCAAAAAAATCTAACCTTCTTACATAACGTAGGTAAGTAGCCATTTCCTCTAGATAAATAAGAAATATATATATTTGCTGTTATCTCTTTTAATGGAACTCAAAAAAATCCTCATCACCTATTTCATTTTAAAGCAACTTGTACTTCTCACCATAAAACCTGAACAGTTTTTCACCATGAATCTGTGAATTACCAGAAAGAAAAGTTACTTAATAATGTTCTTTGAGATGCTACCATATTCTGAGATATACTACCATATTCCAAACATTTCCTAGCAAGTGACACTCCACTAATTTTTCCTTCATGTTACCTGTTGAGATCTTCTATTCAACGTTCCAATTCTAAGACACAGCGTGCAAAAAATTGTGGAGAGAAATGTCTCTGCTTTCTTTTTCTTTCCAATCAATTTTACAGAGACAAGACTAAAGAAAGGTAAAGAAAGGGGTATACAACTTAAAGCATCAGCCTCGTATCCACAAGGCCTGCTGTGGACAGGATTGCCTTTCATTTATCATGAGCTACTCTCAGCAAAGTCCACTTTGCCTATCAATGACATTTTGATTACCTTCCAAGGTGTTCACTTATGTTTTGGCAAAACCGTGACCATGTCATACATATCCCTTGTTCCAAGCACTTTATCTCTACTTTTAAAAATATCTAATTTCCTTCTCTCCAATTTCCAACACCTCATTGATTCTCCTTCAACTTACAGAGAACTAGAAGTGATACATGAACCTTACAAGTTATTCTAAATATTGTTCAGCTTGTTTTTAAGAGAAGTATGACACCAGATTTCAGCTGAAAAGGCTTGCAAAATTTTCAGTGTGAAGACACAAGTGCAGACTAGTCGATCACTGCAAGCACACACATAGTATTTTTTTTAATGTTTCTTTTAGAAGAATCTGTATTTGTAGAACAACAGCATTAGCTTACTGCTGCTTCAAAGGATAATTCTTCTATCTGCACCCAGTATTGATTAACTTAACCATCAATGATTTGGAAAAAGGGGCAGAGGTCTCCTCAGCAATTTCACTGACAGCACAAAGCTGAGAGGAGTGGCTGATACCCCAGAGGGCTGTGCAGCCCTTCAGAAGGACCTCAACAGCCTGGAGACATGGGCAGAGAGGAACCTTCTGAAATTCAGCAAAGGCAAATGCAAGGTCCTGCACCTGGGGAGGAACAACCCCAGGCACCAGCACAGGCTGGGGTGAGCTGCTGGAAAGCAGCTCTGTGGAGAAGGAGCTGGGGATCCAGTGGGCAACAAGCTCTCCATGAGCCAGCAGTGTGCCCTGGTGGGCAAGAAGGCCAGTGACATCCTGGGCTGCATTATGAAGAGCAGGTCAAAGGAGGTGATCCGTCCCTCTACTCGCAGTCTGTGTCCAGTTCTGAGTTCCTCAGCACAAGAGAGACATGGAGCTCCTGGACCAGGTCCAGCAAAAGACTACTAAGCTGATCAAGAGACTGGAGCATCTCTCATATGATGAAAGGTTGCAGGAGCTGGGCTGGTCAGCCTCGAAAAGAGCCAACTGCGAGGGGACCTGATTAATATATATAAATATCCAAGGGGTAGTTGTGGAACTGCTCTGCTCAGCAATAGGAGGAGAGGCAACGGGCAGAAACTGATGCACAGGAAGATGCACAGGAAGTTCCACGGGAACACAAGGATCGAGTCCTTTACTGTGCAGGTGACTGAGCACTGGTACACACTGCCCAAAGAGGCTGTGTAGTCTCCCTCACTGGAGATAATCAAGAACTACCTGGACACACAATCCTGTCCCAGGTGCTCTGGGACGGCCCTGCCTGAGCAGGGAGATTGGACCACATAACCTGCTGTGGTCTCTTCCAACCTGACCCATTCTGAGATTCTGTCACCTACTACACACATTATTTTAAACATAGATATTAAACAATTACCTATGCCAGTTTCATTTTATAAATTAATACACGAGATTTTTTATTAAGAGCAGACATTACCTGGGAAGTTTTCACACAATACTTCTATAGGAGTTGCTCTTTTAGTGTCTCCAATTTTCTGGTAACGTTCTTTTAATGTATCTGCCTATAACAGAAGAACAAACAAGCTTCTGAAGTTATATAGCCTACAGACACCCATTCAGAAAAACCCCAAACATGTCAATAAAAGCTGATGATCTGAAAGTAAGACAAAGGAAGATATCAAAGCCCACTACCTTTAAACCTTGCCATGGAAGACTTCCTCTGAGAAAATACATAAACATATGACCCAAAGCTTCCAAATCATCTCTTCTACTTTGCTCTGAAACAAAATGCAAATATTATTATAAACTTCCATCTGTGTAATTTTACATTACATTTAAAAGACTAGCTTCCAAATTATATAAAAATAATTGTTAGGTGTAACGTACTTTACACCAAACTGAGCATGTGGGGGCATTATTGTGTACTATGGACTGCCTTAAGAACACAACTAAACCCAGAAAAAATGCAGAGGCAGACTGCAAGTATACACATTTCAACAACACTTTAAGCAAATTATCTTGTTGTTATGAAATCGTTCTCATTCTAAAACACATTTGACACTTAAAACTGCATTTTAATTATGACTTTTTTTTATCTATTATTTTTGAACTTGAAACAATTTAAGAAAGCTTCAGTAGAATTAATTTTTCCTCTACAAAATCACGGAGAAGACACTGTTTTCCTCAGGGACCCATTATGGAGTTTCTGAGATAAGCAGAAGGTAGATTGAAGAAGACTCAGAAGTACTACTATTTAAACAGAATGCAGCGTGTACATACAGACTGCTATCAAGTCTAGGTGGCTTATGGGCTTTCACAGAACACAATGCTCACCAAAGCTACAATTTTTCATCTGCAGTAAAGCAGTGGCAGTCCTTCAAGAAGTTCACAGAAGGTTAAAGAAAAACGAAAGTAACAAGGAAAACACAATGTATTCAGAGTTTTCAGAGTACATTTCATGTACTTCTTATATTAAATCTGTCATTCTTGGGAAAACAGAAGGTAATAGTCAGTCTTTAAATTACTAGAGGAAAACAAATCTTTTCATTTCCACCTGACTTCATTCCGTATTGTTGTTGAAAGAAATGTTATACATTGTATTATGTACTGTAGTAAGAGGCAATATTTAATTCTAAATTTGGCTTTCTCTCTGACACAAGAAAGAAAAACAAAGTATTAACATTGTTTCTACTCAGTATTTCAAAAAACAAAATCAATATGCTTTGATGACAAGAGAAATGGAGCAGGAAAGTAAATGAAAAAAAATTTGATTTTTCAAACACAGCAAAGTCAACAAATCCAACCTGGCTCTGATCTGATCAACACATAATACTGCCATAAACATATTGCATCTGAAGAACAATTTTTAATTTTCATATAAATAGAACAATGCACTTACTACTCTGTTTTCTGGCCCTATCTTCTCATCTGAACACTGAATAAACACATATTATCAAATGAGTAAGAAAATACCAAAAAAAAAGGGATGGTGGTAACATGTAGGCTACATCTCACTTCATCACATATCTGCCAGCCATAAAAAGTTGTTTCTGCCATTTCTCCTTCACTCATTTCCATGTTTCCAATTCCCTTGCCAACACTCTTCCTGTTTGTATTCACTTCTCCACTCTTGTTGTCCAATGCTGCCACTTGTCTCACAGTGAGAGCCCTCCAGACAACATGGTCCTATCTGAATTTCTCTGCCAACCCTCCAACATCCCACTTGCTGACCACATGCTATCCTGATACAATCTCCTCAGTTAAGAAGTAAGCAGGAGTAAGTTGCAGGGCTCTATGCATGACATGTTTCAGTATGTGAAAGCAACATTAGGTACAGGTGCTGGCAGAAATCCTGTGTTCTTTATGTGGTGGGTGAACATGCAGAAAATCAGTACTTCAGGGGTAGCGCTTCTGACAAACATCTTGTGCAATGCAGCACATTTCATATAAGGCAGATGAGTGCTAAGACGGTAGCAAAGCATACAGGAATGTTACAAGTGTGCAAAAGATGGTCCATCTATGGGTAACACTAGGGTAAGGCCCACAAAAAGTTACTGGAAAGCTCCATTTGGTCTTTCCTAAGGGACAGTAAGTCCTCTCTTTCAATTAAGTCCTACAAATTATGCTAATGAAAAATTAACATTTTCTCCTTTAAAAAAACCAATCAAATTAATAGCATCTTATTGAGGCAATTGCTCCTTTTCAGACAGTCTATCTATGAAACTTGTCATCTTTATTATTTCAAATTAAGGCATTTTGAAGTGTTATTTTGCTGAGGTTTTGTTTGGTTGTTTTTTGGTTTTTTTTATAAGATGGGCACTGTTGGTTATATTTCTGTAGCACAACAGAAATTTCTCGGGGAACTACGATAGAACACTGAAATTTACAATGCCCTCAAAAACATGCTGTGGGAAAGGATTTTGTGTTTGTTTTAATTTGGGTGACAGAGATTGTTATTTAGAATCCACACAAGTTCTTCACTGATCACTCTGGAGTAATTAAGAAACAGTAGTCAAATATCCTTTCCCATGGAAATTTTCAAGATCACCTTGAGAAGCAGGAAACCCAAAGACAATATTGCTATTATTCAAAGAAGGACACCCAAAACCAGGAAAAAAAATATCTGGAAGCCAGTGGACTAGCTGGAAGATAAAAGGATTTCAAGCATCACCTGGAGGAAAGGCTGCTGATGTATAAGGATCCTATTGTATCCCATTTTAATGAGACTGAGAGGATACGTCGCCTAAAAGATAATACAATCATAACAAATACATAACAAACCTTTAGGGCACATGGTTTCCTCTCTCTCAAAGAGATCATCTGAAGCTACCTAAATTGGTAATAAACTAATATTTTTTATTTAGCTCATAACAAGTATCTCAGTTCAAACAGGCTGTCAGCAGGCTATCCCCAGAAATTATTTTTTTTAGCATAAACAATTAAGTAACCATAACACAGTTTAAACAACAGACATTCAGTCTTTACTAAGCATCCAGCTCCCTAAAGAAAGTTTAGGTATTGATTCTTTCTAGCAGTAGAAAGATATTATCTATTTGGATCAGAAGACACAGTATTAACAAGAACAGGACATCGTTAGATACGCAGATGGGAAGTAATTACCTAGCTTGAACTGTCAGTTACTAAAGTTTAATAAAAATAAATTTGAAATCCAGAGCCTGTAGCCTTACTAAAAATGACTGGATTTCATTTAATAATATAAGGGAAAAGCCTTTTTTCCTGAACAAAATAATGAATCCTGAAGTTAATGGATCTGGTTCATAAAAAAGAAGTTGCATGCCAATTTTATCATATAATTTTATCACACTGTATGCCATGCTGTAGTCTTAAGAACAATATAGACTGAAAATAAAAAAAACCAAAACTTATTTTCATTTATATCTTTAATTAAGAGTGCAAAGAGTTATTTATTGGTTTTATTAGAGGCACCGTTTCATATAACTGTGGATTTATAAGGTTAACTTACACAGGGAAAAGTGTTTATCTAAGACAGCTAAAATTCTGTCCTGAAGTCCATAGATAATTCAGTGAGTATGAGAAGGACAACACTGAACTTCCTAGAGGGGAACCCAGGTCTAGGAAAGACTTCATCCTGCATCACTGGGCCAATGACAAGTAAAAGTTGCTGCATGTCCTGTAGAGCCATCACTACAAAAATCTACTACAAATGCAGAAGGGTTGGTTGTTTTTTTTTTTAGCTACTCGAAAAACTTCAGGATTTAGGCTAATAAAATTTTAGGATCAAATGTTTATTGTTCTTGCAGTAAGAAGTTTATTAATATCCAATACAGAATTATTTGTGGATGGTTTAGATTAAAAAGGAGCCTGGCCCCTACAAAAGCAATTCCAAATCAAGAACCTATGATAGTTGTCACAAGAAAGTACATGTACTAGAGGTAAGAATGGGGCTCTCCAAGTTTTGTTTGAGGATAAGCACTTCTTTAAAGAAATTGGCTTCATTTCACCTTTCTATTCATATTAAGAGTAGACTTGCTTCATTCCTGGAAGAGTTTCAAGCATTCGTTGTACAACAACTAACCTCTGCCTCTGCAATAATTAAGCACTATCATGAAAATACCAATACAATCAAGGATATGGGTAGTTCCCCGGAGACCATTACGGATGGCCAGATTAGAGTAAGTTATAATTCCATGTGACTATACTTTCTGTAGCCAAACAACTTAGACAACATGTTAACACACTGTTCTTCTGAATTTAGGGAAATCCCAGAATAATTACCAATTTACATATCCAGCACACATAGAAAATTGCAGGACTTTTATAGATGCAGATTTTTGTTTTCATTAACCTCCCAGTCAGAATCTAGACTTTCTGGAATCTCACTTTCCCTTCCTGAAAATGAAGTGAACTGGAGAAGAAGCACAGAGTAATTTTATCCCTAAGAGAAATTATCTTATTGAAAGGTAGAGCACCAGCTACATCCTAGTAAGGGCTGCAGAGCATTTGTATTTCCTGCTCTCTGAATAAAGCCACATTATTCTTCATATAGACAAAATACCTTCTATTCCATATACAAACTCCCAGCTTGGCACAAAACTATCAGAAATCCTTGATCAAATGTCTCTTCTGAAACAAAAGATTATTGTCTACAGGATGTTCAGTAATTATGTATTTCCTATATAACCTTAAAAGAGTGGGCTTTGGTGATTTTGAGCAAGTTTTGATTACACATTTAAAGTCTTTCTACTAGCTATACGTTTGTTACGATAGTCTTAAATTCTATGGATCCTAAAACATACTTTTGATTCAAGGGCAACATCCTTACTTACTCATATGCAATAACAGATAAAGTTACAATTCAATAGAGACATTCAAAAGTAACTTATAAGAGAATGTGAACCTGAGAGTCTCCCTCTTTACTGAAAACATTTTTTTTACAAGCTGTCAGACCATTCAAGCAGCTCAAGAAATTATCTACAAACTAAAAATACTACCCTAAAAATTGTCTAATTACCACTATTTTCAGAACGAACTGTATCCTATATGCCATTGTCTCCACAAACACAGAGCTTGAGGACCTTCAGTACATCTCACTCCACGAATTTAAAAATATACTACATTTTTAGAGGAATATCACAGAACATAAAACAACTGTTGGAATGGAACAATTCAGGCTCTTTAGGAAGGAGAGGCAAGAGAAACCAGGAGGCAGTGTCACCCTCCATAGTAACAGCCAGCTGAGTGCATGGTGTTTTGTCTGGGGATGGACGAGGAGCTGGCCAAGAGCTATTGAGAAAGGATTAATGTGAGGGCAGGGTTAGGTGGCCACAGGCCCCCCAACCAGGAAGACTGAGCAGCTGAGTCCTTGTGGTGGTGCATCTCTCCTCCACTCCTTCCAGGCCACATTGTGATCTGAAAAAAGTTGATTAGGTCTCAGCTTGACAAGCAGCACCTGGGCTCAGCTTTCCTTGACTTTATCAGACACTCTGCTCCCAGGAACACCTAGGGTCTAACAAGCTCATGTTTTCTTTATGAACAGCCTTGGAAACTGTTCTTCTTTCTTGCATAGCATAACATCCCTGCTCTCACACTTTCAAAGGCAGTGTGCCAACACACACTGTGGCCAAGCTGAAACATTATTATGACTAAAGCCCACTCTTGCAACCCTGTTAACAGTGGTCTAAAATGAGAGCCTTTGAGCTCTTCTGGACTGCAGCAGCTGTAAGCAGCAACCTCTTTCTGAGCGGGACCTCTCACAGCACATGAACTCTCAAGTTTGCTGTACTCAGAAGACTGCTGAACAAAAAGGGATCATGGGCCAATGCTCCCCTCCTTGAAGCTCATCTCTTTGCACAATGAAGAAATGCAAAAGCACCCAGAGTATTTCATTGCCTTTGAGTGCAATTTTTCACAGCTACCTTGCACTGATTCTGAGTGCATAAACATACATACACGCTACAGCAAATTCTGGGAGGAATGCTCCTCTCTTAGATGTTCGAGTATCTTGGATATCAAAGTAAATTAGGCCTGTAAGTAAGGTTAAATGCTGTTAAGTGCTATTCCTATGTTGAATTGTTAAGTTTAAAGTATAAGTTAAGGTGTAAGCTAAGGTTAAATAATTTTGAGTGCTGATAAGCTTTCAGGCTGTATTCCTTTTTATTCTTGCCCCCACTGTCCTTTTGCCACTTGTCACACACACCTAGCCCTAGACAGCTGTCAGTTCATTTCTGTTTTGACTAGATTTTGTTGGGTTTTTTCCCTTTTTCCTTGGTGTACTAGTGAGTAGCACAGTGAATCTTGCAAAGAACTTTGTTGTGCTGTTGCTTAGTATTAAATCAGGTTTTTACTGATACCCTCGCTGACGATTTTTTAAGCAATCTCAAACACTCATTTGTAACAGCTGACTTCCGATACACAGGAACCACCTCATGTTCGCAAGTCCTGGTCCTCATGGGGGACTTCAATCACTCTGGTATCTCTTGGAGTGACAAGACAGCATGGCATCAGCAATCCAGTAAGTTATCCTTGATAGTAATTTCCTTCTCCAAGTGACAGACCAGCTAAAAAGGAGATGTGCCATGCTGGAGGTTGTTCTCACCAACAAGGAGAGTCTCGTAGGGAATGTGGAGCTCAAGGGCAGCCTTGGCTGCAGTGCTCATGAAAAGCAGGAGTTTGAGATCCTGAAGGCAGTGAAAAAGCTCACTACCCTGAATTTCAGCAGATGCAACTTGGCCACTTCAGGGATCTGCTTGGCAGAGTACCATTAGATAAAGTTCTGCAGGGAAACAGGGCCCTAAGAAAGCTGGTTAATATTCAAGTATGAATTCCTCCAAGTCCAGGAGCAATACCTTCCTACAAAGTCAAGCAAATACCATGAGAAAGCCTGCATCGATGAAGAGTGAACTCCTGGATGAATCCAAAGATAAAAGAACAAGCATACAGAGAAGGGAAGCCAGGACATGTAGGCTGGGAGGTATAAAGAGAAATAGTCTGATCAGCCAGACATCAGCTTAAGAAAGCTGAAGCCCTGATAGGATTAATTGTGGCCAGGGATGTCAAGGGCAACAAGAAGAGCTTCTATAAGTAAGTTGGTGACAAAAGGAAAACTCGGAAAAAAACTCTCCGGAAAGAAACAGGAGACCTGGGATATGGAGAAAGCTGAGGCAAAAAATTACCTTTTTGTAATTACTTTTTTGCCTCGTCTTCTCTGGCATGTATTCCAGTCACATCACTCCTGCCACAGAAGACAAGGGCAGGGACTGGCAAAATGAAGGACTACTCTCTATAGGTCAGATCTATCTGGATACCTGCAAAGCATTTGACACTGTAACACAGGCTATCCTTGTCTCTGAACTGGAGAGACACTGATTTGACAGATGAAACAAGTGGATAAGGAATTGGCTGAGTTGTCACACCGTAAGCTGTGGTCAACAACTCCATGTTCAAGTGGAGACCAGTTCCTGAAGGGTCGTACTGGGTAACACCTTGGCTGGAGTCATGGAGAGTGAGATCAAGAGCCTGCCAATGACATCTGGCTGCGTGGTGCTGTCGACATGCTGGAGGGAGGGGCTGCCACAGGGGGACTTGGACAGGCTTGGGAGGTGGGCCTATGTGAATATGAACTTCAACAAAGAAAAGTGCAAGAACCTGAACCTGGGTAAGGGCAACCCCAAGGACAAATACAGGCTGGGCAGAGAAAGGAGGGCAACCCTGAGAAGGACTGATGCATGCTGGTGGATGAGAGGCAGGACATGACCCCAAAATGTGCACTTACAGCCCAGAAAGCCAAATGTGTCCTGAGCTGCATCCAGAACAGTGTGGCCAGTAGAGAAAGGGAGGGGATTCTTATATCTCTGCTATGCACTGGTGCAACCTGTAGGGCAGCATCCAGTTCTGGGGTCCCCAAGATAAGAAGGACATGCCCTCATCAAGTCCATGAAGACATTCAGGCAGTGCTCCTCCTATGAATGCAATCTGAGAGTTGGCACTGTTCAGCCTGGAGAAGTGAAGGCTTCAGGGAGACATTACAGCATCTTCCAGTACTCAAAGGGAGCCTGCAAGAAAGCTATGGAGGGACTTTTTACAAGGACATGTAGTGACAGGACAAGGACTAGTGGTTTTATACTGATAGACAGTAAGTTTAACTTAAATGTTCAGGAGACATTCTTCAGTGCAAAAGTGGCAAGACACTGAAACACACTGCCTAGAAAAGCTGTGGATGTGTAATTTCTGGAAGTGTCCAAGGCAAAGTTGGATGGAGCTTTGAGCAACCTGGTGCCGCAGCCTGTGGCAAGCAGGTCAGAATTGATTATTTTTAAGGTCCTTTCCAACCCAAACCATTCTATGATTGAACAAGTTACCATTAGAAAAAATAAACACATCCTGTGTTAATATCAGACATGAAATCAAAATTCAGTTTGTTCTTCAAGTAATTACCATTTTTATATTTTGGTTTACTTTTCTTAAAATGTTTGGGGGCAATCTTCTTATTTAAGGAGGAATAAAAAATTTATTTGATTTTAAAAGTTGTTATGCCACTGTTGAAAATTTTATAATAATCCTAAGTCTATTCTGCCTAGCGGACATGAAAGCCCAGTGTCAAAAACTTAACAGTCACCCTAAGCTGACATCAACACTCATGCCTGAAAAATATAGCAAATGCTTCTTTTATCTGAAGAACCTGAGTTTCAAAAGTTAGATTTAGAAAGCTCAAACCCTACACTTGAGGGTCTGGAGTATGCCCACTAAGAAGCAACAAACCTGGTGAAGAGTCCAGAGCACAGACCCTATGAGGAGCAGCTGACAGACCTGAGGGTGTTCAGAAAATGAGGTTGAGGGGAGAGCTTCTCACTCTACAAACCCCTGAAAAGAGGGTGTAGCCAGATGGGGGTTGGCCTCTTCTCCCAAGGAACAAGGACTAGGACAATAGGAAAAACCTCATGTTGTGCTACAGGAAAGTTTAGACTGGATATTGGGAACATTTGCTTCACCAGAAGGGCTCTCAAGCATTGCAACAAACTGCCCAGGGAAGTGACTGAGTCACTATTTCCAGAGGTATGTTAAAAGCCTTGTAGATGTGGTGCTTAGGGACATGATTTAATGGTGGATTTGGCAGTGCTGGGTTAACAGCTGGACTTGATGACCTTAAGGATTCTCCAACCTAAGTGATTCCGGGGGTCTGCTTTATTGATAAAGCACCTTATTCCTCTCTGAGAAGTGAGATTGATTTCTCATTTGCTGTATTAACACTTATACTTACTGTTAAACTGTAAGTATTGTGCAACATTTTTACGACCAATTCAAAGAGTAACCTAATTGATTAGCATGCATGAGAAGCAGCTGTCTTACACAAATTCAAAACTAATTGTTTTCTAGAATCTCTATAGCTGGAATAAACAAAGATCTGAGTGCTTCGCCCTTTTTCATGGTGAATTTATTAATTCAATAATAGCAACTTTCATGTTTATATACATCTTGTAATTTCTTTAGCTTTCTGGCATAACCTTTAACACCTCCGACAAAGCCTTATTAACAGTGTAAGCACCATAAAAATGATGGCATTATCTCTAAGCTACTTTATTATTTTATGACACATTTCAAAGAGATCAGAAAAGCAAGGAAGCATTGAAAACCCATGTTATTGCAACCTATTGACTTTTCTGTATTTCATAAACACACCTATTTCCTGGAAACTTCACTCTGCCATGGTATACTTATACTGTGAAGGTATTATGCTACAAAAAGATACAGCTCATCTTTCTTTTAAGGATAGCTGACAAAGAGGACGATTCCCAAGACATGATCATGACAATTAGAAATTCAAAAAAGGTCATTCCCATGAACAGTATTTCCATAAGGACAAACTATATTTTGTACAATACACAACAGTTGCAGTTCTTAATGACTATGATTGAGAAAAGCTGTAACTTGAAAGCAAGATGGTTTATGGTTTATCACAGCTGTTTCTGTACCTAAAAAGCACACATACCTTTTCCTAAATGTGTATTTATACTCATGTATCTAGCAGTTCCTGTAAGACTCTTGTGTTCCCGATATGGTATGTGCTTCTTTGTTTCTGGATCTACGTATTCCTTTGCCAAACCAAAGTCTATAATGTGAATAATTTGTTGAGTTTTGTTTCCAGGTCGTCCTATTAAGAAGTTCTCAGGTTTTACATCTCTGTATATCAAGTTCTTTGAATGGACATACTCCATACGAGCAATCTTCAATCAAAGAAAAGAAAAATAGACAAGGGAGTTTGGTTTAAGCTTCAGATTGCCACATTAAAATATGTTAGAATCTAAATATCTTATATTGGCTTTATAAGTAGAAGAGACCACCCCTCCTAATATCCTAAGACCAATTGTTCTTAACAACGTATCTCCCAGTTAAAGTCAATAAAAATTGTACACTTTTCCAAAGCAGATACACCAATTGGCACATTGGAAACTTTCACACTGGACATTAGTCATGAATCTTGTACATAACAGAAGTTTCCATCTCTCAAAGCAGCCAGCACAAATATGTTTTGTGTAGATTAAAAGTAAAACCAGAAATTACATCATCAAGCAGTAGGCAACAAAATTTGATGTAGATCTATTACATATTAAAGATATACATGAGAGAAGCACTAAATGTTCATCACTATGCATATAAAGTACCTTTTAGCTGGACTGCTTTCTATCAAGATCTCCATATTCAGAAAGGAACAGGAAGTATTAAATACAGCTGATCTTTGGACTTGTGAGGATTTGAGCATTTAAAAAAAGAACTTGGTCATTCTGGCTGTAAATAAGTTCAATGTGTCTCTATGTCTGTAGTTGGAAGCCTGTTACACAATTACAGTCATGTTTTAAACACCTATTTTTAACCATCACAGGTAAAAGTATCACTATTATGGAAGTGGAAGTCTGGTAGACATGCATAGCCTCAATTGTCCTTCCTTCCACTTCCACCCACCTTTAAGTCAGAACCAAATAAGGAAATCTTCAAAAAAGAGAATAATTCTTCATTAATAATTGTGTGTTATAATTTCTGGAAGGATTTGGGTAATCTTTAATTTGTTTGTTTCCTTTCTTATAAGAATGCCCAGGTAATAGATATTTATATTATTTAGGAGTCCCATAATACAACTGGTTGTGTGGGCTAAAATTACTTTCCTTTCTTTAAGATTTTCTTCTTTGAAAGAGTATGTTGAACTAAAATTTATGATTTAGGTTGTGATGAAAACCCAGAAGCCACAAGTAATTACATTCATGAACTGACTCGAAAAACTGGAACAAAGTAAATGAAAGTAATGTAAGAGTATTTCTGCTTCAACTGTATCACAGACATTTCAAATAACACCAACACCAATTTAAAACATGAGAAGTGCAAATCTCCTAAGTAAGCATTTAATCCACTGAAGACTGGTTTAATTATTCTAGTGAACACTCAAATTAACATCTATTCTACTTACCAACTGTATGGCTATCATAAGAACGGTTTTAAGAGAAAATGTCCTACCACACAAGTCAAATAAATCTTCCAGACTAGGTCCAAGTAGTTCTAGCACCATAGCATTATATTTGCCACATGGGCCAAAATAATAAACCTGAGGTATTCCATCTGTAAAATAAAATTACAAAGTAATGATAAGAGGTTAAATAAGATTAACAAGTATAGCAATAAAATTCCCACCCAATTTTGAGTTGATCTTAAGTTAAAAAGACATTTTTCACATAAAAGCAAAAATAAACCTCATGAAAACTACAGGTAAAAGACACAACAGAAATACTGAAGATAACAACAAAATATTTAATGAAATTATTATTTACTATTTAATGACTATAATTAATCATAAAACATTTAATGAAAAATTATTACAAATATGTAATTAAACTAATATATATTTGACTTGGGAAAGATATCAAGACTTTTATAAACAATTAAAACTAGAACCTCTCTATTAAGTTTTGTAATCACAAACTGAAACAGGGTTTTTAAATGCTATGAAGAAAGGCTTAAGCAAGATCTTGTACAAAACAATACACTTAAATTAAACTTTTTAAATTAAGGCTATTCCTACCTTTAGGAATAAAGCTACCTTATTATCTAGAGAAAAAACTTTTAAAAATCAAAGAGAGATTAATTAACCCAAGAGTTTAATGATGCATTCAGTCTGGACTTCATAGTTTTAAATGAACACCTGCCTTAGGAAGACAGGCAATCCAGAAGTTTTCATATATAAATAGTTAAAGCCTTATGATCCAATTTTACTTCCTCCTTTTTGTGCAACAGGCACTGCCTGTCTATTTAATTAAAAATAACTGGATATCAGTGTTTCTACTCATCTTGTACTTTTTCACATGCACAGGACACCCTCCTCATTCAGCAGAATTTTGTTTATTTAAGGAAGCTAGTTATTCCAGATTTTTGGTTTTCTCGTTCTTCAGTACATATCCTCTGTTTCATTTATTCCAAATATTTAATACTCTGAAAATGTGTTCTTTTTATGAGAGCTTTTTCTACATTGTCCAATGTTACCATACTGCACTACACAGAAGGACCAAACCTATTTTCAGAACACCTTAATGAAACACTGGATTTCACCTTCATTCTCTATAGGTCAACTGTAATTCTAACTCTGAGTGTCTTCTGAAGTACATAAAGCCTTCAATTTTTCGTACCTTACTGTAGGGGCACATTGAAGGCACAAATTTGTAATTGTATTCACTACAGTTTTGGGAAAAAAGAAAATTAAAAATACTGTTTTAGCAAAATTAACATCAAACGAATGCACCATTTTTAAGAGGTTTTTCACTAACCCCTTTCCCTACAAGTCAAAATATTTAAAGAATAAACCCAAAAATCCCGTTCAACTGTTCAGTTTTCAGAAGACTTGAGCTACAATTTGTTTTTTGATATGTATCATCACACCCATCTCTAATATACTTAAAATGCATAATCATACCTACTTCAGAATGACTCCACAGGAGTAGCTTAATGCCATTAATGAAGCAGCATTGACCCTATTACACCCTGTATCAGAATATGGTACGAGATAGTGTTTTTCAATTTAAAAATATCATCCTGAATTACCAGATGGATACCTAAAACACTTGATTTTCTGATTAGATGAGAATTACAAAACGTCCCAAAATTGTGTTTAACATGTAATAACTTCTGCAATGCATATGGAGCATCCTGTCTAAAATTACCTATGTTGATAAAATAATTTGATAATAACAGTTCAAAGTACTAGAAGTTAGGGGCTTTGGTTCTTAATCAAACACTCTTAGCCGTTCTGCTTAAAAGCAATAAGCAAGTATCATTCTGCTACTAAAATTCCTTCTTCCCATCTCTAAATCTTCAGAAGTCAGAAAGCAACATACTACTAATAAAAACGTATATGAGGCTTTCTCTCCCAGAGAGATAAATGTAAGCTCTCTTACATAAACCTTTAAGAGATATTGTTCAAGTTAAAAACAAAGAAACTCTGATTTTTAGAAATTTAAGAAACTCCTGTTGTGTTGACAAGATATTCCAATACTTATTACCAATTAAGAGGATGCATTTTATTTCCATTTTGAATTACTCTAGCTCAAATCACTGAAGAACAAAAGAAGGAAATACTTTGAGTTTTTAAGATGCATCCCAGTTATCTTGCTGTGAATTTAAAGAAGTCATTTGTCTTAGGTTTCTTGGTTAATAATTAATTTGATTACCATTCAATCCTTTCTAGTACCTTGACAGATCTTCTCCCCATCCTCAAAAATCCCTTTTAAAAAGTAGTACCCCTCCCCAATTACAAGCAGAACTCAATGCTTGTCACACAAACGTCACTAGAAGTTACATATAACTTCCTTCTCTTCCATTGAAGAAACTTGCTTATGGCCAAAAAAGTAGATTCACATACTCCCACTGAGTTACTTTAACATTAAACACCTTCCCTTTCTAGGTTTAAAACTCTGAAAATAGAATGCTCTTTTTAGGTACAAGTCATATTTGCGTATCCCTAGATATTTATACTTGTTGACAAATAAAATGCTTTCATTTGAATGGGCTCAATCGACTAAAGCAATCTACAACACTTAGGTGACCACCCTGTCATAAATCTATTTTATGCCAGTATTTTATGTAAATCTATTTTAAGCCAGTATGATTTTAATTCAATTTTACTCTTGAAGAAGATCACAGAAGTCTTGACTTGGAAATTTGAACATCACTTGTATGCCTATTTCTTCTATAAAAGTTAACTTTCATTATCCACCTAAAACATTACTGCTGTACACCTCTGGTCTCCAAAATCAAGTCCAAGCACTTCAAAAGTACTTGATTGTCCACTGGGAAGGGAGACGGGGGACAAGCAGAGCCACCAAACCAGTTATTTAGATTTATTATGGATTATACTGTTTAATTTTCACTCGATGTCCAGAAAGCTTTTAAACCTGACAGATCTGACTTCCTCTACAATGACGAAAGGATAAAAATATTAGAATAAAGAAAACATTACTAGTAGATTAAACTGTATCTGCCAAACCTCTTTAAAATAAAGAAAATACTAAACGATTTCTGCTTAGGGATCATTATCCATCTTGTTCATTGTCTTTTTCAAGAACTTCATCACTAAACCTGATTTAAGCTTGAGACTGCTGTTAACTCCAGTTATCTAGAGGAATATATATGACTAGCACAAATACACGCTTATATCTTAAGGAAAAAATCCATCTATTTGCTTTGACACAGATATTACATCATAGCTTGTATGTGTGTGGTCTCATTCAGGAAAAAAAATAACTTGATAAACAGGCAGCAGAGACAGCCAAAGGAATATGTAACCCACAGGTCAATAGCAATACCATTGGCATTTAACCTCATCCATTACTGACTTAATTTTGTGCTGTATCTCCATACAATACAGTCTGAATTTGTAAAGCTATTAAGCTAGTAAGTAGCTTTCCAGTGTTTTTCAGCTTCTTGTAGTATCAATTTCCTTTTAGAGCTTTCTCTAAACCGGTCAAGAAAAAGACTGATGGTATCTGCGTTATATCCTATTGCTTAGAGTCTGTTAAATCAGATACATAAATGCCAGTAAAATACTCAAGACTGCTCTTGCAGATCCTGGTGTCGTGTATTCAGCTTCCTACACCCCACTGCCTATTATCTGAAGTGTTAATTTCCCTATGTGGCAATTCATTGAACACAAGCCATATCCTTTAAACTAGTTGTAAGATTTGCAGTAACAGTTGTCTTTCACAGCACATTCATACCGGTTCTCTTGTCAAGGATACAAATCAACAAACTGCCACAAACACAAGTATTCCCTAGTTAGTCTACTGAATCTGGTTTGAATCCTCTCAAAGGAAGTGATTATAAAACTCAGGATAATGTGCCCTGACTTAAACCAAAGCAGCATACACAGAAGGTCACACAGTCTCTGGAAACACAGCTTAATGCTACAGAAATCATGATCAGCCACAAACTACAAAACTCTAAACGTAGAATGAGACACTCTATCACCACAACACCTAGACTACATTTGGAACATGTTTGCAAAAAGAAGAAACAGTAATAAAATTGTATCTATTTCAAAGGAAAAAAAATCTTCTTTAGTTATTTACACTACTAAAACAGAATTAGAGATGTATTTTATTGTAATCATTATCAAATCAAATTTCCATTTATCTAACATTCACTTTATTCAGGGAACTGTATTATCAAGCTTCCTTTCACAATTACAGCTATCTATTGTATGTCTCACAACACCCACAATCTCTGAAATCTGTGTGATGTAACAATACAAAACCAATATACATTCTTGCATACAACCAGGCTTCCTATGGCCAGTAACTTCTGTTTCTCAGAAGCATTATCATGTAACTTTATTATGCAGCTGCCATTCTTAGCAGATCTCTTGCACTTATTTTAAGGGGAAAAACTGCTTTAAATTCTGAAACTCCTGTACATGTCCTTAAGCTAAATCCTAGAAAAGAATTGGCATAAAACAAGAAAAACTTCAAGCGACATGTTTATAATTTTTGTTGGACTACACTTAAAAAATAAATTAGGTATTATCATTTTTTCACATAAAACTAAGTATTAGCATATTCACATTAATAACTGAGCACCTCAACCTTCCTATTAAAGGAAGCATATCAGCAAAAACTCAAAACCGAGGCAGTTCTCCCCAAACAATTCACAACACAACTGCAGCAGAAGTCAGTACACAAATTAAGAGCGCTTATGAACAGATTCCTCATCTGTCAAGAGATTTGATATTTGATTCAGTTTAAGTGCTCTAATACTACATTCTTAAATTAAGTTTAGAGCTTTATTTTCTAAGATCACCTGCATATTTGGATTTTTATACTTAATAGTGATTACCAAGCACTTCAACTAACTGCTTATTGTTTATTCCCCAGCATAATAATGCCTGCCACTCAAAACAGAATGGAAGTAATAAAGCAGGACAGCACGACTAAAAAAATCCAAAAGGAACAGCCGTCAGTTTAAGAGCAAATTCACAGCACTTACCTAGAAGCTCGGAGCAATATTTACATGAAGTTACTAATAAAACTCACTTTGCATTTATACTGAATGATGGCTAGCAAGATGTATAGAAAGGA